GAACAAAGGAGGCAGACAGCGCGATGCTTTATGGCACGTCGGAAGTGGCTCCACAACAACCGCACCATCAGTGAGACCTTACTGTCGGAAACTGGAATATGTCCTCACTCAGAGCGAAAGAGCAAGAGTTAGCTATGAAGCCATTAGATACCAACATGACATGGTTGGACTCTCGCCAACGACACTATGTCCGTGTGAAATCCTGAACTTGCGAGTGAAACCTATTCTACCCAGGCGTCGATATCACGACGCGCGCTCAGACTAGTGTTGGTGTCTTAGTGGAACCCCACCTCGAAGAAAAATCATTGATTGGAAGCCTGTCAACGGCAGGGTGGTAATCCTCCGACTGAAGCAATAACAGACTAAGGGGTTGACTTCTGGCAGAGGTCTATGCCCCCAACCTAAAGGGAGAATATGATTCTTTGCTTGAATGCGATGTGCTCTGCGTGAAATACCGAATACAGAGTCCCTCATACTCATGGGCTATTTTAATGCGCATATGGCAGTAAACGCTGAAAATTGGAACGGCGTGATTGGAAAATTGCCCTAAGAATCTCAACAATAACGGCAAGAAGTTCTTGCGATTTTGGGCAAACAACGGATTTTCCATTGTGAACACGTTCTTCGAGCATCGAACAGTCCATCAGTACACCTGGTACCGGGAAGCTTGTGTACAGAAGTCGATGATCGATTTGGTAATCGTATCGTCTGACTTAAGACGTTCGGTAATGGATGTTGGCGTTAATAGAGGCACAGAGCTATCAACCGATCGTCACCTTCATGTTGGCACGTGACGCTGTAAGAAATGGAGTACCATACGAAGATCTGGTGGCAGTAGCTGCCAGAAAATCAAATTGGAAGCATTATCTTCGGTGGATACGAAAGTTAAATTTGCAAACAGTATCTCACGACGGTTTGAACAAATCCCTGCGATGACAACTGATGTTGAAACCGAGTGGCAGCTGTTTAAGAGAAGCCTACTCGAGGCTGCCTCCGAATGCTGCGGATATAAACGGGTGGGCCTGCCGCCTGGAGATCAGTAAAGATCTTTTTGGTGGACACGAGAGGTACAACTGGCAGTTAAAGAGAAGAATGCAGCGTTCAAGAAATGACTTGGAAACAAGGAGCTTTCTACTCGCGTGCGATATGTCGAGACACGCAAGGCGGCAGCCATAGCGGTGGCAAAAGCCAAAGCTGTTTCCTGGAAGAAGTTCGCTGACATGATGGAGTCAAATTTCCACACGAGAGAAAAGGTATTCTGGCACACCATCCGCTGGTTCTGAGGTGGAAAAGAAGGCGGTCTCAGAGTCTATAAGGACACATCTGGACGCCCTCTAACTAAGAATGAGGACATTCTTCAGAGATGGAGAGAGTCCTTTGAGGAACTTCTTAACTCGGAGCAACCGCAGGTAGACTCGCGTGTAAAGCAACGGGGAACGAATGTTAGTATCTCTGTAGATGAAATTACACAAACTGTGAAAAGCTTGAAAAATGGAAAGGCTGCCTTAGCTGATGAAATCCGCCCTGAAACGCCTATGCTGGCCTATACGTGTCTGCCAAAGTTGGAGACTGCTAGGGGGAGATACCAGCAGAACTTATTGATCCTCCCAGGTAAAGTCTATTACGGGAAATTGTTTCTCCTGCGCCAGATTGTTCAGAAATCGTGAGAGTACCCCAGTCTGGTGTAAGTGTGTTTTATGTTGTGTGTTATGACCGGATCCCAACAATCTGTGGTCGTGCCTGTGAGCATACTGGATTGATGGCCAGCAGCTAAGCGCCATTCAATCACTGCATTTCGATAACAGGTGCTGCGTCAGAGTAAACGCCGTTAAGTCGAGGCATTTCCACGTTGTCAGTGGTCTCCGCCAAGGCTGAATCCTACCCCATCTCCTGTTGGTGTTGTACATGGGGAGAATTATCAGGAGCAGCCAAGGCGATGAGTGTATCAGTGTATGGGATGCGCAGATAAGAAGGCTGCTATTTACAGACGACCTTGTTTTATTGGCGTCTTCTCAAAATCATCTAGAATGCTCCTTAGCCGAGTGAGACGTGACTGGCATGCGTGTGAACGCATCTAAAACGAAAAGCCTAGTGCTCTCTCGTTCTCCTGCCCGTTGCCCTCTTCAGATTAACGGAGAGGCAGTGGAGCAGGTGGAGAAGTTCAAGTGCCTCGGAACTATATTTACTAGTGATGGAAAGTTGGAGGAAATGATCGACCGGCGAATTGGAGTAGTCAGTGGCGTTCTGCGTGAACCAGCCCGACCCGTTGTGACTAAAGCAGAGCTCAGTCTGAGAAATAAGCTCTCAATATCCAACTCGATCTTTATCCCCATACTTACCTACGGTCATGAATGGTGGACCATCACTGAAAAACTTCGAACTCGGGTAGAAGCTGTTGGAAAGTACTTTTTAAGAACAGTCGCTGGCATTACGCGTCTCGACATGGTCGGGAATACTGACATCCGCGAGAGCCTTGGTGTGCAGCTGCTGCTTCTTCAGATTGAGAAGTCACAATCCGTCTAGGCATTTGTTATGAATGCTGCAGAAATGAAGGCAAGGAACAAGGAACTGATTCTTGCGAAACAGAGCTGCAGGTGACGTGTCCAGGTGACTTCCAAAATTAACCTAGTGCAAATATGTGACAGAGGTCTGTTTCATACAACAGCTGTCTTCTGTCGAAGCTCACACTCTGGCACAAGATCGCAAACATTGGAACCACTGCCTGACGGTGTGCCTCCGCGAAGTTGCCTTGGAAGATGAACATGTAGAAGGAAAAGAAACAGCATTTCGAAATTAAGCAACTCTGCGGTACGAAACAAATGGTACGTAATTTGCAGCTAAGTAGAACAGTAGTCCATTTGTTGTGATTGTTTGACAAAGATCAAGATTTAGGTTAAGTGATGACCGCTGTACCAGTGATTAATCGTGAGTTGTAGGTACGTTTCTGATCATCACTAAAGAAC